TCCTTGTAAGACCTGTGCACTGCAAGTCTGCAGATGTTACTCCCGCCTCATTCTGTTGGTTAAAGCAGTTCACATGGTATGCCCAGATTCAAGAAGGTAGGAGACAGGCTTCTCCTACAGGGAGTGGGAGGAGCTGAGCTGGCCACAACTGGATATGGTCTATCCTGCCCTCCCCTTCTTCTACTTACTCAGAGCCCCAATTCAGACTCCTGTCCTGCCTCATGGAGGAGACCTTTCCCATCACGGTAGTCCACCCGAACAACTAAGGGCACCTCTTGTTAGACACACTTTTTATTTTGTCCTTAATTGTTTACTGTCTTGTGAGACTTTGACACTACTTATCGTGGGCTCTTTGAGGACAGAGAAATCAGGTTAGAGTTCCGAGAACACTTTGTACTATTGGGATCACACGATGGGCTTTCAATGTGTGTTTGTACAGAGACAAAGGGAGGACGGAGAAGTAGGGGCTGGATGGAGTCAGTGATGTGTACCCTCAGGTTGCGATCTTGATCAGTAGAGCTCATTTCTAGTCGATTAATCAAGAGTCTTCAGCTGCTTATTCTGAAAACCTAATCATTCTGAATTCCTCCCAGCTTACATGAGACTTTGGTGACACAGACCCCTGCAGGCAGAAATCACCAGGTCTGTAACTGGACGGGATCACGTGCAAGGTGCCTAGGAGACTTCCCTCCCTGGGAGGCAATATTTCCTGTGTCAAGCATTCCCCCGCTCCTTTTTTAAAAATTATCTTTGTTTGGCTGTACCCAGTCTTAGTTGCAGCACGCGGGATCTTTGATTTTCACTGAGGCATGAGGGATCTTCCAGTTGTGGCTCATGGGATCTAGTTCCCTGACCAGGAATGGGACCCAGGCCTCCTGCATTGGGAACGTGGAGTCTTAGCCCCTGGACCACCAGGGAAGCCCCAAGCATTGCTGTTGTCGTTTAGCCACTAAGATGTATCCAACTCTTTGTTACCCCACGGATTATAACCTGCCAGGTTCCTGTGTTCGTGGGATTTCCCAGGCAAGATATTGGAGTGGGTTGCCATTTCCTTCTCCAGGGGATCTTCCCGATCCAGGGATCGAAGCTGCATCTCCTGCTTTGCAGGCATATTCTTTACCACTGAGCCACCAGGGAAGCATTGCCCTCTTGTAAAAATACAAGTATGACTTGTTGGTGATGGATGGGAAGTGGTGGGAAGTGGGATGGAAATGTGAATCTCTGATGTCTTAGTGAAAATTATCTGATAAAATCAATGTTTCTTTTTCTGTTGCAGAAGAAGCTGGGATAGCAGCATGAATGTGTTGGAAGATTGGAGGCCACTGATGCTGAAAGAAGGAAAACCAAGGAGGGAGGTTCCTGCAGACAAGTCACCTTGCTCACATCAGCCAGGCCAGGTGTGCAGGAGACATTCTGAATAATGCGTCTTTCTGGGCATTCAAAAGTGGCTAGTGGTCTCATGGACACCTGAGAAAAATGAGAATATGGGTGGGAGGAAGATTCCAGAACCTGTGAACCTGGCAGTGTGGACAACCCCTCCATTTCTGGGGTCCAGTCTTCTACGATGTGACAGGACCCTTAGTCACTAGGTTTCCAAAGGCAGGGGAAGCCTGTGGGAAAACTGATTCAGCATGTCTGCAGTGAGTGAAATAAATGTTGTGTGTTAGTCGGGCCTTTAGTAGAACCACTAATGGAAGATCAGCAGACCATTGGGATGGGTGGGCATCAGGGCTAAAGATTGATGAGACTCTCATGGTTGCTTCTATATGCAACCCCAAGTCATTTTTTAATTAAATGCCCTGAATTGTCTTTTTGGATCAAAACTTTCTCTGTTCTGTCAATTAAAGAAGGCTTGCTGCAGCCCACCTCATGGCTAAGGATATCAGATATGTCTGTACATTATCATACCTAGCAGTTTTTTGTGTGTTGATGTTGGCTGACATGCAGAAAATGTATTTTCATGGGCCTGGTGACTTTGTAATGGACACTGGCTCTGGGACAGGCATGGACTGTCTAGCATGGACTTGAGTCACACCTGAGTTTCAGTTCTGCCTCTGTCACTAGCCTGGTGACCTTGGGACATTTGGAAACTTGAATGTGGGAAAAGTGTTCCTCATCTGGAAAATGGGAATAGCCACACACAAGTCACGGGATTGTTGTGAATAATGAGTAGGTGTACGTTAAGTTTCTAGAACTTTCCCTGTCTCAAAACTATATTTAATAAATGACTTTTAAAGCAAGGTTTTTTTGTGTTATTTACCATCTCATCATTTCACCATGCCATTGTGCTTACAGCTTGTGTCTGCATTTTCTGTTAACCATAAGAAAATGGTTAATATGTAGGCATGTGTGATTCCTAAAGATGGGGGAGAAATTCAGAGGATCTAGGATTTCTGGTCATCCTGTTAATTGAAGGGAATATTTTGATGCCCATTTGGGGGATTCATAGAGAGGATGAGGGGTTAAAGCCATAAGAGAAAGGAATTCTTTTTATGGTGGAAATAAGAAATGAGCTGGTTATGAAAATTAGCAGAAGCCCCTGGATGGAGCTGTTCCATCTGTCTAGAGCATTCAACTCCCAATCGCCCATTGACTGGTCACTCACACTGCTTCACTGTTACAACCTCTTCTAAGTGAGCAAAGAAACCCTTTCCTGGTGGATCACTCTGGTTATTAAGAGCCATCCTTTCTGGCATCCTCTGAATCCCAACCACATTGAGATTTGTTCTTCAGATGGGAATGTGAAAGTGAAGACGCTCAGTGGTATCTGACTCTTTGCAACCCCATAGACTGTAGCCTACGGAGCTCCTCTGTCCATGGGATTTTTCAGGCAACAGTACTGGAGTGGACTGCGATTTCCTTCTCCAGGGGAACTTCCTGACCCAGGGATTGAACCCGGGTCTCCTGCCTTCCAGGCAGATGCTTTACCGTCTGAGCCACCAGGGAAGCCCCTTCAGATGGAAACCTTGGTAAACAGTCCTGCTTGTTCTGTCTTTATCCCTTGACCAAGTTCTTCCACATACAATCATGTCTCCAAATATAAATCCAGAGTAATCTTTCCCATCATCTTCTCTTCCCTAGGTTATTTGTTGGTTGATGACACTAGAGTTTGCAGTGTCCTTAAACACTTGGTGGAGCAAACATCTCTCCATTGACTCTTTAACTGAACCAAAGCACTCTAAACAAGGGGCTTTGTTCAGCCTTTTCAGTTAGTCATTTGTCAGGAAGCCTGGACCCAGCGGTTTCAGAAAGAGTAAAGAGAACTTGATAACTTTACCTCCTGTCCACAGATTTGAAAATGGGGGGGGGGTGTCTGTAGAAAAAACATTTAAGAAACAAATACCCTGGACTTCCCTGGTGGTCCAGTGATGAAGAATCCACCTTGCAATGCAGGGGACATGGGTTCCATCCCAACTAAGATCCCACATGCTGCAGAGCAACTAAACTTGGACACAGCAATGAAAGATCCGGCATTATTCAACGAAAATCCTGCATGCCTCATCCAAGACCCGACACAGCCAAATAAATAAGTACTAAACGAAACAAAACATCGACAGCAGCAAAAACACCACACACACCTGAGAAAAGCCTGGAAAGCAGTGAATTTAGAGACGTCACCTTTCTGAAGGCACTCGGATGCTTGAGTTTCATTTCCCTCATTGTCATCTGTGCCCCTTGACAAGCATATCTTCTTCCAGGAAATGTGAAGGCAAATTTCTTGGCATTTGCTTCACTATATTCCCCAGACTGGAAATCTCATTAAGAAGCCCTTCCTGATGGAATGGATGGAGATGGAAACGAAATGCCCTCTCTGCTCACATTAGTATTTGGTTGAGATGGTCCAAATGTTTGTGGCAGTCATTAAATCTTCCCCAAGCAATATTCGGGTTTCCCAGGTGGCTCAGTGGTAAAGAATCTGCCTGCCAATATAGGAGATGTGGGTTCGATCCCTGGGTCAGGAAAATCCTCTGGAGATGGAAATGGCAACCCATTCCAGTTTTCTCGCCTGGGAAATCCCATGGGCCGAGGAGCCTGGAGGGCTACAGTTCATGAGGTCGCAGAGAGTCAGACATGACTGAGCAACTAAACAACAACAAAGCAATGTTCCTAGGGATAAGCCATCAAGGAAAATGGAAATTAAGTTTGCATCACTGCATTCCCCTGTTCCAAACGAGGAAGCCATCTCTAGTTTGGGGGGAGGAGGGAGGTTGCATGGTCTTCTTACTGAGTTTTTAATCGAGTTGCTATTCCCCTCTTTCGTTTATGGAGCCATAGAAGTGTCTGTAATGAAAGATGACAATGGCAGTGTGCAGAGGTTGTGCCCAAAGAAAATATGACAGCTCTCTCATAGGGCCTGGATGGAAGCAGAGGGAGCTTGGTAACAAGCCGCATCGCGCTCTCTGTCGTTGCATACTGATTGCAAATCGTGTGGGTTATCCTCCACTCTGTAAGAAAAAGGTGTGTGTGTGTGTGTGTGTGTGTGTGTGTGTGTGTGTGTTAGAAAGGAAGAGAGAAGGAGAGAGAATTTCTCCCAATTGATTATGAACCTCATGCATAGCAACCATTGGAGAAATGACTCTCAGGTTTCCTATAGCAGAGTGCGCATGCACGTGTGTGGGCACACACACACACACACACATGCGTGCTCGCACACACACTCACTCTTATACACTGACAGGCTAATGGCTACTTTCCCAAAGAGTGGTTAGAAAGAAGTAGTAAATGGGACTGTGTTGATGCCGGGAGAAGACCCGGGCAAAGATCAAGATACCCCCAGTGTATCAGATAACACATAATTGGCGGGTCACAGCCAAATGAGTGTAGTCACGCATCGCCGGGCCGGCCTTTGCCGCTGATAAAGACACTTGTAAACAATTCAGTCCCAGAACATGGCAATAATATGTTGATCCGGCGTGTAATGAGGTGTCCCTGGAATCAATAAGCAGTCCTGGAGAGCAGGGAGCAGGGCAGTGGCTGTCTTTTTGATGACCTTTCCTCACCGCCGAGGACCTCGGCTCCCCTGAAGAGGACTTTTCTCATTTTGCGGCGGCTCCGAGTGTCAGAACTTCCATTCGCAGCCAGCAAATGAACAGCCGGGCCCTGCATGCTAATGACGTCCAGGCTATTTTGCACCTTTTCATCCGCACATTATGCTCTTGACTCTGGAGAAGGTGGGAATTAGGCCGGACCCTGGTGTCAGACTGCCTGACGGCTCGGCTCCGGAAAACTGGTAATTGAAGCTGATGAGTGATGCGAGGGAGGCCTGAATTTGGAAATAAACAGTTTCAAGCACTGCATGTCATTTCTAGAGAGACTGCTGAGCGAATGGAAATGAGCTCCGTTTCTTGAATCTAATGCAGTTTCTCAGCAGGAAAAACACCGTCTTTTAGACAACAATGCCAGTCATTAAGATTTAAATGTTCTGGCGATAATAGAAGAGCTGGCCTCCCCGGTTCACAAATAGCACTTATGTAAATGTCTTTCAACATCCAGATCTACATTTAATCCACGCCCAGGAAGATAACTGTGTCAGGAAAGCGGAACCAAATGCAAGCCTTAGTCTATAAATATCATTCATAAGGAGAGAGAGGAAAACAGTCAAATTGTTTGCCAACATGTCACATCGCATCGCCTGTCAGCGCTGGAGAAACGGCACCTCCCTGTTCAAACAATGAAAGGACGCTCAGAAGTCTGCCATAAAACACTCAGAAACCACACTTTTCCTGGTTATTTCTGCTCTGATGTATTTCTTTCCAAATAAATATGCTGGCCTTTTATGCGGAAATGGCATGAACGTTCCCCACCTGAAAGGCAGAATCTCTGCTTGGCGAGTGATCTGTGTACTTAATGTTGCAACAGAAGCTCAAATCTGGACCTGCTCATGTGTAATATTTAAAAGAAGTTCTTTCGTCAAGTGTTTGTTTCACCTTCTTTTAACATGACTATGTTGTCACAGAGCCCTGGACCAAACATGACATGCTGTGCTGGTGTCTTTGCCCCCAATCTGCTGAGATAATCTGGACCCTGAGTAGCTGTGGCTGTTTGTGAAAAGAAGGGCTCGTAACCTACACACAGACTTCTGTGGTTTAAGAGGCTTTAAAAATCGGGTTTATTAGACATGCCTCCCCCCATCCCGCCACCCCAGCCCAATTCTTCCTGTGCAGGTGAAACAGCTTCAGGGAGAAAATTACGAGCCTGCAAAAGAGGAGAACAAGACCAGTAGTATTTATCATGGCAGGCCTGAGTGATTCATGAATAACCATCACTTTGCCCTTTTCTCGTTTCTCTTTCCCACCAGAAGTGAGAGTTCGCGATTTCGGGCCTTTTTCAATTTAATGGTGACATGCAGGATTCTTGCAAGCAGTCTCTGGTTTGTTAGCAGCATCAAGGATATCAGCACAGCTCGAGAGAAACTGAAGACTGGGGTGTTATTGTCACTTCAGTTTAAAGGTAGCAAACCTATCTTGCAAAGGATCAACACTGAATTACTTCAGCATTTCAAAAATATAGATAAGCAATGCATTTCTAATAGCGTACTTGTGGATCCGGGATAGATCAATGAATATTCAGCAATCCTTTGCACGAAATGTATGAAACAAGAAAAAGGATAAATCTTCAACACACACACACACATGCGCACACGCATGCAGGCACACCCACCCCTTACTATGACAATGTCACCCCATTCTGTCATTATTTCTGTGTCTCATGGGGTCTCCCTTGACATAATGGCTAAAAGAGAGGGAGAAAATTGGGGTCACTACTATGCAATGATGGTAACTGCAAAGCTCTCTGTGCTTGGTGCACACATGTGCTGGGAATCCAATATTTATACAGTTATTTCTGTTTCCAGAGCAGCATTGTTTTTTTGAAAAGCTTTTATGTGTATTTCTTCACTGGACTCTCAACACTAGTCTATGGCACCAAAGTCCATTTTATTAACATGTAAGAAAAGGGAAGAAAGAAATGATGTGATTTTTATAAGGTCACACAGCAAATCCACTGGCGAAGCCAGAATCGGAACTTTCCATTTTAAACATTTGCTTCTTTCTTTTCTAGAAATCTGCGCTCCCCTGTGTAGGTATTCTCAATAAAGAAGGTGATGCAGTGTTGACTATTTCTGCTTCTATCCTCACAAGCACCACATCTTCGGTTGGTGCTATGAGACTGAAATTGTGACTTGGAAGCAGGATGGGCAACTCCGATTGCTCTGAGGAGGAAGAGCATGGGCAAGATTTTTTCAGTCTTTCCTGGTCACTGGTGGTGGCTACTAGAGCAAGAGCTTCCCTTACAAGTGGATAAGGAGTAATTCAACATTGTTTGAGGATCAAGAACATAGGTTTGGCTTTGGTTCAAATCCTGGTTCCATCAAGGTCTCAGTAACTGCAGAAAAGCAATGGGACATTTTTTGCTCATGGAACGGAAACTGCAGAAGTGGGTAGTCTAGGGTGGAAGAGAATGGGCCCAGCGATGCTATCAATGTCCCAGGTTCATTTTGTCTTTCTACTTTACCTATTTTAGAATGTCATTTCCTTCTTAAGGACGCCTCATGCTCACATTGTGGCTATGCAGTTGAAGCCCTCTCATCTGAAGGAGAAGGAAGGGAAGAGGGCCAGGCAAAGAGCCCGATCAGTATGTCCTTCCAAGGAGCTTTATAGGAGGCAGTTCCACCCCCAACTTGTGTTTGTAGCTCTTTGGTAAGAACTTTCACCAGGCTATTTCTACCTACAAAGAGGGTTGGAAGGTGCAGTTTTGAAGCTGACATGTCTCTGCTCCCTCCATAGTTGGAGTCCTCTTACTTGGAAACAAGTGAACAGAGATGGTGTAATTGACTGAAGGAAGACTTTGCTGCCACAAACACTTAGGAGACATGTGAATCCAAGCTAGTTACTGAACTTCTTTAAGTCTCAGCTTACTCATCTTGTCACTTGGGAAGAAATAGTGAACTTTCCTTATTAGCTTGGCATGAATGGGTTGTAAGACTAAAATGAAATAGTTCACATACAGTGCTGTCCCAGCACAGAAATGTGAGATATGATGACCTAGGAAATGAGGTGTGAAAACATGCTCACCTTACTAGTGATTGGGGAAGTACAACTGAATACTACAACAGGAGGGCGTTGGCACCTTCAGAAACTACTAAGCAGGTAACTGGGACCGTGTTTCTGGAGGGTAATCTGGCAATAAGAATCCTTCTTCTTGGAATGCATGCTAGAGAAATACTTGCACAAATGTATAAAGAGACCTTGAGACTGACTGGTTTGACCTCCTTGCTGTCCAAACCTGGGTTTCCCAGGTGGCTCAAGTGGTAAAGACCCTGCCTGCCCAAGCAGGAGATATGAGAGATGTGGGTTCAATCCCTGGGGCAGGAAGGTCCCCTGGAGGAGGGCACAGCAACCCACTCCAGTGTTCTTGCCTGGAGAATCCTGTAGGCAGAGGAGCCTGGCGGGCTAAAGTCCACGGGTTGGCAAAGAGTCGGAAACGGCTGAAGTGACTTAGCACTCACACACGCATAATGAGACCTGTCTGAAGATGGTCACTGAAGCACTATTTGTAAGAGCCAAACAACAACAATAACAAGAAAACCCCAAACCAAAAATCTTCAAACATAAAATACAACAGAAACTGAACAGTCAAAAGAAGAATGTCTAACTGAACTGTAGTCCATCTGTGCCATGGATGACTGTGCAGAAGATTAGAAGGAAGAAGATTCATATGTCTGCGCTGATAAGAAAGAAGGGGAGGGGCTTCCCTGGTGGTCCAGTGGCTGAGATCCTACACTCCCAATGCAGAGGGCCCAGGACTGATCCTTGGTCAGGGAACTAGTTCCCATATGCCACAGCTAAAAGATCCCACGTGCCTCAACAGAGACTGAAGACCCTGGGTGCCCCAACTAAGACTGGGACACAGCCAAATAAATACATATTTTTAAACAAGAAAGAAGGGGAGATGTATCAAACCTTTCTTAAGTGAAAACAGCAAGTTGAAGAATGATACATAGGCTATGATGTTGTATGTGGTGGTGGTGGTTTAGTCACTCAGTTGTGTAGGACTCTTTGCAATCCCATGGACTGTAGCTCAACAGGCTCCTCTGTCCCTGGGATTCTCCAGACAAGAATACTAGAGTGGGTTGCCATTCCCTTCTCCAGGGGATCTTCCCAACCCAAGGATTGAACCTACATCTCCTGCATTAGCAGGCAGTTCTTTACCACTGAGCCACCTAGGAAGCCCATGATATTGTACACGTCACTCAGAGTGTCCTTGCTGTTCCCTTCAGTCAATACCCTCCCAAAGGTAACACACTTCTGTCCTACCACATGGACTATTAGTTTTGCCCATATTCTTTTTATGTGCACACGGGACATTCTCTAGGATCATAAACGAAGTTTCAGCAAATTTAAGATTGAAATGATACCGAGTATCTTTTCTGATCACAATGGTATGAAACTAGAGATCAATAACAGGAGGAAAGCTGGAAAATTCTCAAATATGTGGATACTAAACAACGTACTCTTGAACAACCAATAAGTCAAAGATTTTAAAACAATTTTCTGCCTGCTAGTAATTGCCTTCATAACTCCAATTAACTTGGTCTCTCAGTGTTCTTGATTTTTTAATCTTCCTACATTTTCTACTGAACTTCTGCTATGTGATATAAGGATTTGATTCATGTATATCCTTTCTTATCTTTCCCTCCTCAGTTTTGGAAGGTTGATCTTTTGTATTTTTCTGCTGATTGTCTTTACCAACTTTTCTTTCCCTGGTGCTTTTTAATTTAAGCCACTATGCTGTGCATTGCTTTTCCTACATACGTGAAAAATTGTTTCTTGAGGTACACGAGGCCAGACACTTGTATGTTACTTTTCTGGGTATAAATATTTTCTCCCTTTTGTATCTGAATGTAATTTTATCTTTGGTTCAATCTGCATCACTTTAATTAAAAGACAAAAAGTAAAACTCACATGACAACCCTTGTGTCCATGAAATGGAAGCTTCATCAAATATTAAACCACACACACACACACACACACACACACACA